GGGGGGGGGGGCGAGGGACTCCCTCTCCAGCAGGTCTGTCTGGGGGCTCCTCGGGTGGTGGTGGGGGGGCTCCCAGCAGCCAGCAGGCCCTTGCAAGGGCTCCTGTGGGGTTTCACCGGCTACTTTCTGGCACCAGGGCTGGAGGCACCTGAGCGCCGTTCTCGCCGGGGACCATCTGGGCGGCAGCCGGCAGGGTCTTCTCCTCCACCCCGTCCCGCCGGTCCCTCGGCAGGACCTTCCCGAAGGGGCGGAAAGGGGGGCTCCTTTGCACCGAGCAGCCCGCTGGCTGGGGGAGCTGCAGGCCAGCCGCGCATGCGCGCGCGTGCACTCCTGGCGCACCTGCCGAATGCCAAGTGGAACCTCTCCCTCGCCCAGGTGGGGGGCGCGCAGGGCCTGCCCCCCCCGAGACTCCGGCCACACTTCACATATGTTATAATCACTCTTTGGGTAAAGAATAAGAAATAAGAAAAATAATATTGTAAGACTTTGTAATAAACGTTCCCATTTTTATTTAACGTGATTTAACATCAAAAGCGTAGATCTGAGCCGCCCCAGCCCCCAGAAGGCGAGGCCCGGTCCAAATGGCCCTGCTGCCCCCCTTGTTGGGTTTTAAAAATTGGTTTTTAGCAGAGATAAAATAGCTTAGCAGTGCCAGAGTAAAATAATTCAGACTCAGAGTCCGTGTGTGTTTAAAATAGAAAGTTTTTACTACATTCTAGCATAGGGAAGGGTAACTGGGATGAAAAAAACCGGAGCTAAATTCCCTACATCTTTACGCTACAAAGGCAAGAGTAGAAGAGAGGCTTAGGGCACAAGGAAAGGGTCCACACAGCCCGCGAATAAGGTCCCCTCGAGCCCAAGTCCCTCATCCCGATCTGGAGACCGAGAGAATCCCGAAGGAGAAAGGGGAGGCGGCCGCGGGAAGAGCGAGCGCGGGCCTCAGGGCCGCAGACAGGGTTTTGTCATTGGGAGGGGGCCTTTAAACAAGCCGGGGGGGGGGCACTGACGTCACAAAATAAAAACTCACTTTTGCAGCGTTCGCGGTCTGCTCGCCTGCGCGGGGAAGCCAGCTGCGCTTGGGGAAGGGGATTCCTCCGGGTGGCCCAGGGAGTTGGGGGGCCGCGGTGGAAGTCAGGGGGGCCAGGCCCCGAAACGCCCCACTGTAGCGACAGGCCTGGAGGGTCCGCTGCCCCCGTGAGCTGGCAGAGCACTCCGATTGGTTGGGCTGGGGAGGGAGGGGGTGCCCTGGGCAGAAGAGGCGGGCCCCGCCGTCCCGTTGGTGGCATTAAGGGACCAGAACTCGCACCGCAGGCCCGGAAGGCCGAGCAGGCCGCAGAGCCGCCTCTACACCCGCTCTCTGGGGAGCAGCCAGCACCAGCCAGGAGGCCCCCCCGCCCCCCGCCGGGCTCTTTGCTCCGGCTCCAGGCAGAGAGGCACGTGGCCGGCCTGCTGCTGCTCCCAGCAGCAGAGGGGGAGCCAGGAGGCCCCTCGCCAAGGCCCGGAGAAGGAGGCCACGGCGCAGACCTCCGCCACTCAGCCCGCCGGGCCCTGGTGCTGGCCGCCCCGTGACAGGCGGGCAGGCAGGCAGAGAGAGAGAGAGAGAGAGAGAGAGAGCTGGACTGGGGGGGGGAGCCCCCGGCCGTGCCCCCCGCCCCCTGACCAGACGCGGCGGCGGCGGCCAGAGGCAGGTGGAAGGAGGAGGAGGAGGAGGCCGCGCACAGCGCCCGAAGCGGCGGCGGGGGCCGAGGCCACATTTGTGCCGCTCCCCCACCCGCGCGGCCGGAGGAGGGTCTCGCGGGGCGGACCAAGGGCGGCTCTGCCCACCACAGATCGCGGCCGGCCTCCTCTGGAATCCAAACGGCCCGGAGGAGGGGGTAAGGCGGCCGCCTCTGGTCTCGGTGCAGCGGCATGGGGGACTCCTCCTGCGCACAGTCCTGGCCGCCCTTGAGGAGGCGCGGCGGGGAAAGGAGCCCGCGCAGGCACGGTCAAGGCGGGGGGGCCCAGAGCACCTTCCGTAGGAGGACCGGCGGCGGGAGAGCGCCTTCGGGGCTGGTTTGCCGCTTTAGGAAAGGGGGGGGGGGACATCGGGGAGGCCTCTCAGGCGACAGGCGGTGGGGAAACGGAGCGCGCTGACCCGGCAGGTCCTCTGGCCTGGCTCAGGGACACTCAGAGATGGGCGGTCAGCAATTCCCACATGTAACAATACAAGAATATAACAACAATATGATGAGAGGAGCAAAAGGAATAGCAACAAACACTAGTTAACATTATCTAAATACTTAAGGAGGTGTCATTATGCTCATTAACGTAAGATCTATCTTGCTGCTGACAACAGTTCATTGATGGGTTAGTAGCTTTAACCTATGTGTAATTCTATTTTCAGAAACAAAGCCAGTAGTTTTCATTAGCAAAAGAGGGAACCACTTCCTTTTCTGAGAGAAGCTGAATGATCGGAAACCACTCACCTATCAATGGGGCTTGATCGTCCCCGTTAGTGTGACTCGCGATGCCATATCCGCTGTTTCCCCCACAATAAATGGCACCCAAACCTTCTCATGCCACAGGCCGAATGACGGGCCTGAGACTGGTTTCCATCTAGCGGCTGCAGTCATTCTAGCTGCAGCCAATAAAAAAGAGGTTGTTTCTGTCATTCGTTTTGGGGGAAGAGACTCCGGCCACACTTCACATATGTTATAATCACTCTTTGGGTAAAGAATAAGAAATAAGAAAAATAATATTGTAAGACTTTGTAATAAACGTTCCCATTTTTATTTAACGTGATTTAACATCAAAAGCGTAGATCTGAGCCGCCCCAGCCCCCAGAAGGCGAGGCCCGGTCCAAATGGCCCTGCTGCCCCCCTTGTTGGGTTTTAAAAATTGGTTTTTAGCAGAGATAAAATAGCTTAGCAGTGCCAGAGTAAAATAATTCAGACTCAGAGTCCGTGTGTGTTTAAAATAGAAAGTTTTTACTACATTCTAGCATAGGGAAGGGTAACTGGGATGAAAAAAACCGGAGCTAAATTCCCTACATCTTTACGCTACAAAGGCAAGAGTAGAAGAGAGGCTTAGGGCTTCTCTTTCCTTCTCCTTGAGAACAGCAAACAAAGACGGGAAGAGGAGCCATAAAATGCTAAAACACCTTGGCACTTTACTTCCAATGAAACTCCTAGATCAGGGAGAATTATCCCGGGCTTCCAGCATCTAAACTAACATTGGTTACATGGGAAACGTGTGATTTCCTGTGAGCAACACAAACAAACATTTAACCCCAGATATACGGGTGCCGCAAGACAGGGTGAGCTCCTGTCTCTAGTTCCAGCGCCTGCCAACCTAGCAGTTCCAAAGCAAGAAATTGCAAGTAGATAAATAGGGACCACTTCGGTGGGAAGGTAACAGCGTTCCGTGCGCCTTGGTGTTTAGTCATGCCGGCCACATGACCACGGAAACGTCTTCGGACAGCGCTGGCTCTTCGGCCTTGAAACGGAGATGAGCACCGCAACCCTAGAGTCGGATTCGACTGGCTTTCGAGCAAGGGAACCTTTACCTTTTTATACTGAGTGTAACCCCCCCTCCCCCTCAGAGGCCCCGTGGACTGTCTGGGCTGAGGCCGGAGGAAATGAAGTTCTTCTGCCTTCACACACCACGAGTAACTGACGGAAGTCGCTCCTGCAAGGGTCGGCCAGCTTTACTCTGGGGGGAGATCAAGCCACTGCGCGGAGGCGGCTGGGGGGGCGGGCAGCACGGTCTGGTGGTCAGAGCACCCGTCTGGGTTAGCCCCTGGAGCCCCTTGCGCGGGGGGGGGGCAGGATAAACGCGGGCCAGAGGCGTGGCTCTTTCCCCAGATGTATGGAGACACACACACACCCTCTCCGAAGGAAGGCGCGGAGGGCCAGAGACGCGACCGTGGCCGGCGGCGGGGCCGGCAGCCGGCGGGGGCCGGGCAGAGCCGCACCCCCCCTAACTGCTGCCCCCTCTCCTCCCGCCCGCCCCCAGCGCCGAGTACCCAGACCTGCGGAAGCACAACAACTGCATGGCCAGCAACCTGACGCCCGCCATCTACGCCCGCCTCTGCCACAA